TGTACATAAAAATGGATAACGAATAAGGAGACCATGAATGCAAGATAGAAATGTATAGAAGGGAAAACACTAACTGCAAAGAAACCAATCATTGAAATAACTAGTCCAATCTGGTCGAATTTCACTCCTGTAGAGGATATATTTTACTATGTGCCCAAACAAATGAATGGGAGCAGCATGTTGCATTTTTCTTTCCACCCGTGATCAATGAAACATTGGTTCTTCCAAACCAATTTTCTTTTTCTGGCTCTTCCAAACTTGATGGTTAGCACATGTAAAATGTCTTCTCTCTGATCACACATGGGAGGAAAAGGCTATCTTAATATCTAAGTGCTCCACCTGTAGTTTTCTGAATGGTGCTATACTAATTTGATGCTTGCTCCTTTAATTGCATGCAAAAAAACTATCATAACCCCCTTCATGATTATTCATTTAGCATTTTGTTAGCCCAGTTTATGGCATGGCATATAACCACGATATAAAGACACTTTCTTGTCTTTTGGTAGTTCTGTGGGATTGGGGTGATTCTTTGCACATTAATATCAGATGGAATTCCTTTATTAAGGAGTTAGAGATCTTTTAGGTTTTAATTCTGATTCTTGCTCTTACTATATGACCACAGCCACCTCTGAATCATAGATCTGGGTGTTACTAATAAACTTAGGCTCAATGGTGGGATTCAGCCACTCCTCACTTATCCAGGAGAACCGGTTGTTAACTTTCTAAGCAGTTCGGAGAATGGGTTGTTGGAAGAAATCACATTTTGTTTTGTTTTTCCACTTTACAGGGCTAATCCCTTAAGGAAGGCAGGGAGGAAACAGTCTGGGGTTGTTTCTAGCTTAATTTTTATTGCCATACTTACAGAAACTGCCTCTCCGGTTAACTCTTCTTACATTGTAACAGCTAAGGCGAAGCGCCCATCGACATGAGTGACATTGAGTTGGCCACGCCCACCCAGTCACATGACCACCAAGCCCCACCTAACCAGCTGGTCATTAGGGCAGAGAACCGGTTGTTAAATGATTTGAATCCCACCACTGCTTAGCCTGGTTTGGACCATCCTATAAATCCCACAATTTATTTTGAGTTATCTTTTCAGAATTATTTCTTTGTTAAAAGGAATAATACTCCCTGTGTTTACTTCTCCAGGATTTGAATCTAAAACCTGGTAAGCTTTTGCTCCAAATGTGCCATTTAATTTATTCTTTTTTCTTTAGGGATATGCGACAAAATGCCTTTGCTGGACTTGTTCCCCTTCCATATATTGAGTGTTCCTGGCTTTGTGAAGTTCTTCTTCTTCTCCATAGAATTTATTCAAGAGGTTTTCACCCAGCAGAAGGCATATTAACATATTTAGCAAACTTTGATTCTTTTCTATTGCTATCCCAATTTGTTAGCATTATGACCTAGTAATGCTGCTTTGATGGGCAGCCAAATTTTTTAAAAAAGGAAATTTCCTGCTTGTCTATGAGAATTTAGTTCGTTTATCAATTGTAGAGGAATAAGGCAAAGAATTCAGAGGAAATGGGACAGTTTGAAGAAGTGATTTTTTTAAAATATAAATACTATTTGGAGAAATAGTGTTAAGTCAAGTGGCAAATATTTCTTCAACTCATTCATCGGATAAGCTGCATTAAGACTTCAAGGTGTGTTTATCATCACAGCCTTAAGATGTTTGTTTGTTTTTTGTCATTATGCAACATGGTTTCTCTGTTCATCACTGCTGGGGAATCACGGATATCTTTTCATTATCTCAATTATACGCTTATACATAACCTCAGTTGCTTCCAGTCCCCAAATGAAATCTAGATGTTACCCGTTCAGGAACATGTTGTTCCTGAATGGCATGACATTACTTAGCCGTGCTATTAATTCGTGGACGTCTTTTATGTTCACAAGTAAGTCATTTCCACCAGACCAGAGTGCAATGGGTATTTTTATATCTTCTAACTTGTATATAGGAGGAGTCATCTGGGCAGGAAAGCAACACATTTAAATAATTAATCAAAAAGTAAAAGGAAGAGATTCAACATGTAAAACATTGCAAATTACCACTTTAAGAAAAGCAAAGTAGGACAAAGTAGGACAAAGTAGGATAAAGTAGGATAAAGTTATTTTTACTAGGTATATGTACTGACTTTACAGTGGTAGAGAC